AAGCATGTAAAACACTGTTTTGATTCCAAATGACTCTATTTTCAACTAACCACTACAGATTCCTCTCGTGTCAGAATCAGGTTACATGGCGGCTTTTCCCATTTCTGATTCCAGTCTCCTTCTGACCTGACCGCCATCGGCAATCGCTGAAGAAAAACCCCACTGTGCCTTGGTTCACATCAGCGTGGAAGGCACATCGTTTTTCAATCACATGTCACTGGAGCTCATTCCAAAACTAACATGAAATGAAGGCACACTTCATGTAACTTAAAATTGCAGGCAACGGCTTAGTATTGAACCCAATATGAAATATGTCCCTAGGACAAACAAATATTAATTTAAAATAGCCACGGCTGAGTTGAGGATTTTTATCTCTCTCTCCCCCTCTCCTCTCTCTCCGTTCCCCCCGCCCCGACCCTGCTCCTTCTGACTGGGTGTTACTCTAAATACTAAACCTTTCGAGTCTACACTGCTTAGTGAAGAGTTTTTATAAACCGTTGCCTTTAGAAGGGTGTGTGTCTGCCTCTGTGTGCGAAGTAAGTCAATACAGACTTAGTTAAAAGCAAATGTGCTGGTTTCGGGTATTTCCTAAAATTTCTTTGAAAGAACGTTTTCTTTATTAGTATAGGAATAAAGGTATGGATTGGCATTTTTCTCAGATTTCTGTAATCCTACTATTGAGGAGTTTTAAGAACCACCTCCAATTAATTCTATACTGGAACTATGGCGAGACTCCTTGTATTCTGAAAAGAATGCAGTAAAACAAATGACAGGGAAAAATGGGGTTTTGCTCAAAGGTGTATATTTTTAGTCTATTACTCTAAGATAAGACACAATAATTTCTTATATAATTTACTCATTTACATAAAGAAAACTTTTAATTCTTGCGGTGTAAGTCTTATAAACTTATTCTGAGATCCCCGTGGATTCACGCAAAGTTGCGAGAAGTAACACACGCAGACCCCAGCGCCCTCCCCGCGGCGCCCCCCCCCCGCGGCCCCCTGCTGCGCAGCCCCACAGCCCGGAAGCGGCCGCCGTGCCATCTGCAGACCGCGCCCGGGCTCTCTGGCTACACGCACTGTGCGTGCGTGCGTGTGTGCGTGTGCACGCGCGCCCACGCTCCATTCCCCACCACCTTATCGTGTGCGGAGACTCGGGTGGCCACAGAGAACATCTTTTTAAGAAGTTTCTGTTTTTAGTGTCTCATCTTGGCTTTACTTTGAATGTATCCATGTCTGTATCTCTTAGAATCTATTTCTTCTTTATGGCTTTCTGTTTCTTGGCTACAGTAACACATTCGGCTCCTCTTGGAGTTTTATTGCCTCATCCGTGAGCTCTCTGCTGGTGGAGAGCTTTGTCTTTGGTTTGCCTTTTGCAGCACATTTATCCTTTCCCATGAAAAGACACAAATATAAACAGACATTCCAGCGCACATTCACGGGGTTTTAAAGACACCAGTGAGAATAGATTAATATATATACGAAGCTTAAAAACTGTCATAAAAGTTCAGCCTTTAAAATTGGTTTATTAAAATATTTGTTTTTTTAAACCCCGATTTAAACTAAAACTATGAGTTATAGAGCTCGGCTCACAGAGTTCCCTTTACGAGCTTTGTGCCAGGCAACGGGGATCTGGCATCTGTGCCGTCTATCGAGAACACAGCGATGCAGGGACAACGAGAACTCGGGGTTTCCAGGCTCAAGACCTGTCTGAAAATAGAACCGTCTCCAGGGAAGCTCAGCGGAACCTACCTCCACCAGCCGCTCGCTAAGTCCCAGCCCCGCAGCCCTGCCCTGGCCTGAGGGACGCCACACTTCAGAGCAACATTTAAGGGAACGCTGTCCCCCCACGGAGGGCAGCTCCCTGCGTCGGGTCTCACTGGGGGGCATGGCATCAGGAGACGGGGCTTCTGGGCAGGTAGTGCAGCTTTCTGTTCTGCTGCTTCTGACCAATCAAAAGCGCCACTGAAACTCGGCATGTCCGCTCTCCACGGGGAATCCAGTTTCTTTTGCCATCAGCCAGCATTCGGGCTACAGCGGCGAATGAACACCCCCAAGATGCGAATTTTCAGGAGGGAGAAAAAGGCTCACACGTGTTGGGTGCTGAGAGGCCACGCTCTGGTCTCTAAGGTAACCCCGGCTCTCAGAGGAAAACAAGGCCATGCGTTGGGCACGGCAACCCACGGAAAATCTGTGCAGACTCGGCAGACGTTCGAGAGGTTGTCTCTAACCACAGAGCAGGGAAAACGAGGAAAGAAAGGTCCAATAAGTAATCGGCCCCTCCCTCCCCCTCGCCACACCAGGTGCCTCGGACCCTGCTGCTGCAGCTCAGGCATTTAAGGAAAATACTGAAAAGTGTTTGGAGAGTTTTCCGTTAGATGAACCCAGCTGACTGTCCAAAGACACCTGATTTATTGTCTCTCTGTGTTTTTAAATACCAGGCCAGAGAAGAAAGGCAGGGTAAATATCAGCACCAGCCCTATGATTTCCTGAGTTTCTCTTTATATCAAAGGGCAACGTTGGGCCTTTTTTATCGCTGCTGCTGCTCACCCAGACACAGCTCCACGCGTGCGTGCGTGTGCACACACGCGCCTCACAGGAGACACTAAAATCACCCACCGTTTCCCGAAAGGTCTAGAGAGTCTTCGCTGATGCATGTAACTAATGTTTCTTTAACATGTCACAAATCTGTTAGCATGTTAACAAATAAATAACATGCCATTGAGCAACGTTTTCAGGAAGTAAAACCAACGCTGGCTGCATCTATACTCACAGAGACTAGTGGGTTAAAAGCAAAAAGGACACAAAGCGTTCGCCAATGTGCCTGGTGAGTAAACACAAGGTGCACCCAGCTCGCTCCTCCATCGGGGATGGCCGAGTCCTCCTCTGCCCGTGCGGAGTGGGCGGCCGCCTACTAAAAGGAACTGGCTTGTGGGAACTAGTCAGTCAGAGTCGATTTTATAAAAATAAAAAAATAAAGGGGCCCCACAGAGTTCAGTTGTTCTCCAGCTGAATGTGTTATCTGTAATATTTTCAGGACTTCCCCCTCCCCACCAAAAAACTCTTTAACACGTCCTTTACTTATTCAAGCACTACTTTTTATTTTTATACAATCTCTCGTCATGACCTCTGTCTGGTTCTCTCAGGTTTAGGTGTGCGGTTATTTTGTAATGAATTTTAAACGACCCTACTAAATTCTGCACTAAATCGTATCTCCTGCTCTTTGTTTTCCGTAATTTTCTGGAGTAATTTCTTAATGATAATGTTGCTGGCATTTTCCTTGAACAAAGCTCTGTGTGCATATTTTTAGACGCGGACACCCTCATCCGCTTGCTTATTTCGGACACACTATGAACTGCGGACGGCCTGATGGGTGAGTGCGGCCGACTACGCACACTCACAGCTCAGGCAGCAAAACCCGGAATTAACGTGCGACCCGCTGCGGCGCCTCCGGGCTCGGCCAGCCCCAACCCACTTCTTTCCTAGGGAAATGCGTGGCTGAGACACGTTCCATCTGCTTTTGACAAAGATAGGAGAAGATTCCCGTAAGTTACTCTCTGCTAAAATTCTTTGTTCAAAACCTGCACACCAATCCCTGTTTTAGAGGGGGAGATCAGCATCAGGAGAATTTTCCGTGGCACGGAAACAGAAATAGAAATAAAAATACAAATACAAAAATTAAAAATCCACCTGTGCTAGACCCGCGTGGTGCGGGCACGACAGGACCACTTTCAGGCTTAGAAGGAGGTGAAAAAGAAACAAGTCGGCCGGGAGGGCGGCCGCTGCAGCGCCCTGCGAGACCTGAAGTCCTGCTGCACAGAGTGGGGGTTTTACAGGAAAACGCTGCAAGGTGAGCAAGAAGCTAACCATACCGGGTAGGAAGGATGTTTTAACATCCCCTCCCAATAAATCTCGCGCCCTTCCCTTGCCCGCCGGAGCCACGGCCCCCACGGAGCCTTCTGGAAAGAAGAGCCCGTCTGAAGGGACCTCCCAGGTGTCCGAGGACACAGTGCCCGGGCGCGGCGCCCTGAGCGCTCCCCCCCCGGGGGACCCGAGCTCCCCGCTCGCAGCAGCCGCGTCCCCTCTGTCTGCTCCCCCGGGGCCGGCGAGCACGGGCTCCCATCTTCTCCAAACCTGTTTCCCAGCCTGGACCCCGTGCACTTCCCCGCGGGGCTGGAGGCTGGGACGTGGCGCAGGGAGAGCCCCCTCCCCGACTCTCCAGGTTCAAGGCTGGGACCAAAGCCTCCAGCTCCTCCGAGGTCTGCTCCACCTGCCGGCGGGCAGCCGGAGCTCCCGGCCGGGCTTCCCGGCCTCCGCGCTGCGACCGCGCGCAGCAGCTTCCGCAGTTCCCCGGCGCTCCGGGCGCCGGCCGACCTGGCTCCCGGCTGCACTGGCCCCGGAGCCGGCAGCATTGGGCAGTGTCCTCCCGCCCTCTCCAGGCAAACCTGGGCGCTCCCAGAGCGCACCCCAGGGCCCGCCGGAGAGGCCGCCGCGGGGGCCAGGACGCCCTGCAGGAGCCGCGGGGGAGAACGGAGCGTTCGCTCCCGAGGAGAGTGCGAGGCCACGACCCAGCACGACCCGGCGCGGGCAGCTCCCAGGCCGGTTACCACTACGAGGGGTGCAAGGGGCCACTGCTCCCCTCCCTCCGCCCCTGGACGCCCCAGCCGGTTCTTGTGATGCGTATACCCCCAAAGTCACTCGCAGACCCCCGCATGACACCAAAAGTGGAAAAAGCGACTGTCGACGATCCGCCTTTCTCCGACTGACACCCCACCTGGAAGCTTGTAAAAGGCCCCAAGGGTGCCCCTGGGACATGGGACCTTCCCAACAGATCCCCATCGGTTGCAGGAGAGAAAGCGCACCCCAGGACGCCCCCGAGGCCAGCGCAGCCTCCGCGAGGGGGGATGCACGGCTCGAACACCCGCCGCCCGTGGCGCAAGGCGCCCTTCGCGCGCTCGGCACCTACCCTGGAGCGCCGGTCCGGACGTGGGCGGCGCGGCGCTAGTGGGAGGCGGACATGGACCACGCGCCCTCCATGCGCCACACGGAGAAGGCGTAGCTGAGGCGCTCGTGGGCCACGTAGCTGCAGCTGGTCATCTTATTGTCCATCTCGTCGCTCTGCAGGACCTGGTAGAGGAAGTCTATGTACCTGGCGGCCAGCTTCAGCGTCTGGATCTTGCTGAGCTTGTCCGAGGGCAGCGTGGGGATGATCTTGCGCAGCGCGGCGAAGGCCTCGTTGAGCGACTGGGTGCGCTGGCGCTCGCGCACGTTGGCCAGGATGCGCTGGCTTTGCAGCTCCTCGAAGGACTGCGCGCTCGGGCTGCCCTTCTTGCCGCGCTTGCCCGGGGTCGGGCTGCCATCTTCGCTCGACTTCTTGCTGTAGCGCCGCTTCCGGCCGAAGCGCTTGGGCTGCCGCTCGAGCTCCTCCTCGCTGGTGCCCAGACTGTCCACGGGGGACACGGGCGAGCTGGAGCCCTCCTCCATGGCGCCCGCCCGGCGCGCGTGGGGCTGGGGGCGCCGGGCGCCGAGCGCGCGCCGCCGGCCAAGCCCGCGGTCGCCGAGCACACGCTCCCGGGGTTGCTCGGGAGGCTCTGATTTCAAGGCCGGCTTGTGCAAAACCGAGGTCTCCGGGAGAGGAAGTTATTCTAACTTTTTTGGAAACTCTAGCCGGGCTGGGTTGCTAAATAGTTGTCAGGAGCGAGGGCGGAGCTCTGATTGGCCGCCGCGGCCGGGGGCCGGACAAGTTCTGGGGCCTTCGCCCGCCGCCCCCGCCCCCCGGCGCGGCACTTTCAGTTTTGCCTCCCCCTCCGGCCCTGACCGCGGCGGGCACCTCGGAGGCCTGAACCTCGCATGCTGCCCGCGCCTCCACCCCGGGCTCTGGCCACTCTCCGGCTGCCCCGCGCCCTGGGCTCAGCCGACCCGGCTTTGTCTGCTTCTTAACGTGGGGATCGGGCCCCACCGGGCTGCGGGACCTCCCGGGCGCGCGGGGCGCCGGTGGCGAATCGTACCCTCGATGCGCTCCCAGGAGGTGAGGACACGGCGGGGGGCCTCCGGGGACCCCGGGGCCTGGGTGCGCCTTGGCCGCCCCTGGGCGCGCAGCGAGTATTCGCCGTGGCCCGAACGCTCAGCCTGGGTTGGGGACCAGCGCGGGCAGGGGGTCCTGAGCTCCCACCAAGGGCGTGCGGACACTCGGGTGCCCTTGGAGTCGCCGCTTCCCAAGCACGCGCCGCGAGGACCCCTGGAGCCTCCGCCCGCTCTGCCCGGGCGGTGTGGGGGGACGTTTCTCATCCCAACTTGCTGGGGAGCTGAGGCGCCGACCCTTCCGCAGACCCTCCTCCTCCGCGCCTTAAAACCTCAGCGCCAGAGCCAGCCTCTGCGGGAAGCGCCAGTGCCCGCCTCGCCCACCTGCGTGGCCCTGCCCGGGGCGCGGGGCGCGGGGTGCGGGCCGAGGGCGCCCGCCAGGCCCGCGGTGCTGGGCCCCCGCCGCTGTGCGTCCCCTCCGCCTTGTCAGTCGGCAGTGGACGGAGGGCGTTCCGGGCAGCTGCGCGGCCTCCGCTGCGCTGGGCGCCCACGGGCAGCCGCGGGCAGGAAGGCGCAGGGCGGCGGGAGCTCGGGGCTGGGCCTCGGCGGGCACCGCTGTGGACCCCGGCCCCGCGCCATCTGGACGCCGAGCGCGGGCCCGTTTGAAGTGGTTGGGGGGGCTCTTTGTTCGCCGGGCCTCTCTGGCTCGGGGCCTGGAGGTGGTTTACGGCTTCGATGCCTTTGAACCTATTCCCAGGTGGCCCGGGCTCAATTAGGCCCGGGCCTGAGCGGGGCTGTCAGGCCAGCCGCGAGATCAAGGGCGGGCCGGGCCCTTTTTATTGAAGTTGAACTCGGGCCGGCGGAACGTTCTGCCTCCGCGGCTCCTCGCCCAGCCGCCCGGGCGGACTCGATGGCGGCCTGTGGGCCCAAGGGGACACTTCCCCAGCAGCCTGGCGAGAGGAGAGCAGGCCCTCACACAAACATGGCTGCGGAGCGCAGCTAATTCTTTCTAGATCCTTCCTGACCCTGCGGTCTCGCAATCCTGTGACTCAAGGGTCCTCCGGAGTGGCCGCGCCGCCCCCACGCGCCTGACCACCCCGCCCCCACCCGGGGACTGCCCGGCTCACCCAGCACAGCAAAATAGCTTTCGGACACCCCTTTCTTTAAAATTCTAAAATAAAGACTTTAAGAACAAAAAGAAAGGGAGAGGAGCCTGCTCCCCCGGCGGCTCCCCGCCTCCGGACTGGCCTGCGCCAGCGGACTGGGCTCTCCCGGTCGCTCGCAGCCGCGACTCCCGGGGCTGTTTCTGACTCGGCGTGTCCGTGGGTCCGGGAGCCCTAGGGCCCACGCCCTCGCTGCCGGCCCAGCTTGAAAGAGCCCCGTGACCTCCATCCCCCTGCCCCAAACCAGGACGCAGGCAGCAAGGAGAGGAGCCTGTCCCACTCCCCTGCCTTTCCTGCCGGTGACGGGAGTCCCAGAACTTTCTGGAGGTCGGGCCTAAGCCCCAATCCTCTGCCTGCCTCGTCCCAGACCCAGCGATGGCGCAGTGAGGGGCTGTTCATCCCATGCCGGCAAGACCCTCTTTTAAAATCCCCTTTAAAGATTTCCCCTTGAAAATGGCTCAGGAGGCACACCACGAGCCTCCCAGTGCCATCGCACGGGGACACCGCCACCGCACATCCCTCCCCGTGTGCCAGTGGGAGGGAGCCCACTCTCTCCGCCCTGCGCCTGCCACTCCTGCCTGAACTGCAGGGAACGGGAGCCCCAGAGGGCCTTCCTCAGACCCTGGCCACCTCGGCCTGCAAGGTGCACTCTCATGGGTGTGGGGCGAGAGGGCTGTGCCTCCACCAGGTCCTCGTGGAGGCCAGTGGCGGGATGTGTGGTTTCCGTGGCAACATAGCATCTGGCAGCGGGATCTGGAGGCCGGGCAGGAACATGTGTTTTCTGAGTGGAGCCCAGCAGGAGCGGCACAGCTGGGGAGGTGGCCGCAGCCCCCCCAGCCGGGGGCTTTTCTGGAAGCCCGGCTCTCCCAAGGCTCTGCTCAGCTTGCAGCGCCACTCAGCTGACGGTCCCCAGAGCCGAGCCGGGTGCCCGCTTATTCAGCCCCGCACAATCCTGTCACGGCCTCGGTGGAGCTGTTTCCCACCGGAACCAGCCGGCGGGGGTCCTGCTCGCTGCAGCAGCTCCCTGACAGGGCACCCAAACCCACCGCGACCTGCAAGGTGGACACCAGGGCTCTCCCCAGGGTGCGCTGTCTTCACAGCCCAAGTTCCCTCGCAATGTATAACCTAATGGGCCTTGCGCACACATTTACAAACGCTTGTGAGATCTTAACAAACTTGCTCTTAAACCAAACTCATATTAGGACTTTGGGGGACAGGGGGGCAGGGGGGCTTGGAATATATATCAAATCTCAACCCACACCAACAGCAGAAAGCTCACCCGTGGCATGAGCAGAAAGGGCGAGGGGCGGGCTCCTCGGCATGACCCGTGGCCTCGGCTTCAGAGTCCTATAAATATATCACACAATTACAAAAAAGTCCATCAAACTGAGCACAATAGAAATCCCTAAAAAAAAATCAGAAGGGAAATCCAACCAAAGCACGTAACTGTGTACCATCCTGGCGGCTTCGCCTGGCAGGCAGGAAGGAGTTCAGAGGCTTTATCCACTGAAACCTGACAGCGCGTCCCGGCGGGACCTGCTCCAAGGGCCCCCCCAAAAAAGATCACAAGAAAGCCTCGAACAGTGTTCCAGTAATAACTGCGCTCGCACTTTAGTAACAATATTTCTACTATCATTCTGAGACCGGCTGAAGCAGACGAATAATGATGTCTCTGCCTTCGGGAATTAAGGGTTCCAGCCCGAAAGGAAAGAGACGCATATAGGGCGCGAGGGGAGTCGGGCGTGCCCACGCGTCCCGCGCCCGTGGCAAAGGCCGGGAGGGGCTCCCGGTGCGTTCGCCCTCCAGCACCGCGTCTCCAGCGCGCACCACTGAAAAGGCCAGGGCGCAGAGCCGCCCGGTGACCGTCAGCGCGGCAGCGTCCCGTTGGGCTGTGGCCCCTCCTGGAAGCAGTGGCTGCGTACCGGTCCGGGCCAGCCCTGGGCAGGACAAGCCCGCGCGCCTCACTGTGTGGGAGGCCAGGGAGCCGTTGGTGACTCCAGGGGTCCTGTCAGAAAGACTCGGAGACGCCCCACCGGCCGGAGGTGGCGCGGAGCGGGCAGGGTGTGAGCAGTGTCGCGGGGCAGGGAGCGCCAGCTGTGGTCCAAGCCGGCCAGTGTATAGCATCCACCCAACAAAACACTCGTCGGTCACCTGTGGCTGATCATAGCAAGCTGACGTAGGGTCCCAAATACCGGTCAATAGAGGGGAAGAATCAAGCACGCGACCGGCCTTCCTTGCCCGCGTGTGCCCCGCAGTGCCCTCCAAGCTGTTGAGACGGTGTGGCCCCACAGAGGGCGAAGGCCGCCAGGCCCCTGGATGGACCAACCGGTTTGCGAGCCTCCTCCCAGCGCCTGGCATCGCAGGGCGGAGGCCCAGCGCCGGGGGCCAGGCCCAGGCACCGCACCTGGGCGCTCGCAGGCGTCAGCAGCGCCCCCGGGGCGCGCCGCCTGGCAGGGTGACGAGCCGTCCTCTGCGCAGAGCCGGAAAGGGCTCCTCTCTCTGTGTGAAAGCCCGTGCGGACCAGGACCCACAGGGTTGCCAGCGGGGCCACCACACGTCCCCCCCTCCCTGGCCTCCCAGCCCAGCCCACCCAGTCCCACCGGCCCCGGCAGCGCCCCCGGCACAGGGGGCCTTCTGCCCCCCGACGGCATGTGGCTGACTTCCCCCCCCCACAGGCTGTCTTGGATTCTGCGGTCCCATCGCACACGGCCCGTTCCACCTGCGCCCCCGCGCAGGCCAGCATGCGCCTCGCGTTCGTCGGGGTGGGTTTTCCCACACCCGCCGGGCACCAAGCTTGGGCCTGCGGTCATCTCATGGCTCCGGCCACACGGCTCCCGCTCCCCGCTTCTAGCCCGGCCAGCGGCCCCGTGCCCTGTGGGTGTGGCGCGGGCCCCCACAGGCCCGTGGCCCCGTCCCGCTGGGAAGACCTCACCGCGGCTCTTCCAGCGTTGCTCTAGGACAGGCTGGGTCCGGTTTAGCTCCACTGCAGCTCGAGGAGCAAGAAGGCTGTTTTCCCTCCCCCTCCCCCTCTGCAAGAAATGCTACAAATACACACAGGTCCTGACAACCCGAACGGACACCTCACTTCTGTGGCTTCATAGAAATTGAACATCACATTTTTCTCAAATGGTTTTCACTGCCCTGCTCAGTTTGTTTTCGGTCTTCAAATTTGTCGTCCACATTCCACGCCCTCTCCCCCCTCCCGCACCCCAGCCCCGTTCTTCAAACGGCGCCCGGCAGGCACGGCGCGAGAGGGAACAGGCGCGTGGCCGGCCTCCGTCCCCACCAGACGCCGCGGCT